GGCGATGCGCCAAATGCTCCGCCATCCATTGTAGATGTCGTTGCTGATTCTGTAGCTGTTGCCTCCAATCTTCGGTGCCCTGTTTCCAGACGTCAATACTTGGCTCGTCGTCTCAACAGTTTATCGAGCTTGGAGAACAATATACCAAATACCCAGATCATAGCCAGTCCCCCACTGACAAACCTGGTAGAGGATGTCGCGGTCGGTTGTGTTCAGCGCCTCGGCCATTATCTCGAAACGGTCCGGGGAAATGGCCTCTGGGTGCCGGTAGTCTACCATGACATCGGGCTCCACGGCGTAGCAGTTATCGTATCTGGGGTCACCTTTCAGCATGCAGATAGCCTGTGACAAAACTTTGGACCTACTTGAGGGAGTCCGCGCCCCATGCGGCGAACGATTTGGCATCGATGAGCTCATGGTCTGTCATTCTATTAGTCGACCTGACATCATCAACTTTCACCCGGTAGCTCACGCAGAGACGCAGGCTGGTCCGTGGAACCGCATTGAAAGTAGCCACCGCCGGAGTAGACACCAAACTTGAGGCCGAGATTGTGGATATAGTCTCCCAGCTCCTTGCCGCCTCCGGATGGGAACAGCTCCGGGTTCCATTCGAGCTGCCCGTCGGCCGCCCGCTCCGTAGACAACCAACCGCAGTCCGTCGTGACGGTGGTATATCCGGCCTCGGCAAGACCCGTGTCGACCAGCGCATGCGCGTTAGATTTGATAATCGTCTCGTTGATGTAGCAGTTATAGTAGTTGTAACTGTTCCATCCCATCTGAGGCGTCGGAGTCTTGTACGTCTTGGCTGAAGCCCGGCCGCCAAGGACCATCAACAGGCTGAACGCAACGATAGCCATGGCTGGTTTGCTGTGGTTCAATTGAAAGCTCACAACGGCGTAATCGACAAAGCTCTCGACAATAGCTGTGTGCAACTATTCGACCAAGTTATGCCCGTCTTATAGCTCAAAACCATATAGGTGCCAAGTCCGGCAGTACTACTGACCCCTGTCTGCAATTCCATCGTCGCGGGCCCTTCTTCTCCGGGAGCAAGCTGTTCGACTAAGCTTAAGTGAGGTCATCACAACTCTACGCGCACCATTGAACTTTCGTCCCAACACTCCTGGGCACCCCGCCTGTTCCCCGACGGGATCACCCCATCAAAGAATGGGTAGGCTGAGGGGAAACGCACGTGGAAGACGCTAGTCGATCAAACTTATTGGGATAGCCCCTGTCAGGACAGATGCAACCACTAGCAGACGGGCGCTTATAGAATGCGATGCGACTGAGATACATATCCAAGGTGGTGCCTCGCAGGGTCGCATAGGAATAGGATAATACAAGGATTCGATGCGGCACCACTCGCGAAATAATGTATTTCTCCCCGCACCAAGCCGCATGGCAGTGGTGAGAGATCCAAACTTGTTCACATACTGGTTCGAATAGACAGACACCTTTGCTTCCCCGCAGTTGGGTGACAGTCTTACTGGAGCCATAACCACGATTGGACGAGAGACTGGATGACGATAGCACCTGTAGGCTAATTTGAACGAGGCTCGTGACGAGAGACCGACTAGAAACGCGACCCCAGTTACTGTGCATACAATCAATACCCAGAGCTCAATACGATCGTGCGCTAATTATTGTACATGTACGACTGCACTTCCCCGATTTTCTGTCTTGAGATGCTCCTCTTAGACCGGCGCCAAGTTCTGCCCACTCTCAAGGGGCTCCTTTGCTTTTTTTTTTTTTCTCCTCTTTCTTTTTCTCGGCCATAAAAGCTTTGGGGTCTCCATTTCAACATACTGTCCCCTCTTGTGCATAAATTTGAACATATTGCTATTCGTTCGAGCTCAAAGTAAGGTGCCGTGTAATCTGGCATCTCAGTATCTTTTTCCGTATGGTGCATTGTAAGTCATTGATAGGAATCATGACGGGGGTGTCTTCGACGTTATAAAGAAAGCCAAAACTCAATTTTCTACTTGGCGTGTTAATTCGCTTGCCCCCTAAATGATAGAGACTAAATAACTGGTTCCCGCGAGGTGACTCGCAAACGGCTAGAATTGAATCTCATCAAAGGGATCATTAGGAGCTCATATATCATTGTTACGTCCCAGTAACTATGAATCCAGTGTACTTCATGCCAGGGTCGTCGACTATTCAAAGAAGATTCCGACTTCACTGATCGCCCATCCAATGGTGAGTCTGCTCAAGAAGGACTCCCTGCTGGAGGGAAGAGATCTCGACTAGCTATACAAGCGCATCAATCAGGTTCTAAGTCTAGACACCATGTATGCAGTCTTATCCAATGACTTCATTAGCCCATTGCGTAAGGCCCAAGAAGAATGGAGTATCTATCACATAATTACTCATTCTCAGACTATAAACACCTAAAAGCTCGGCATTTTGGCCTTGTGATGTATGCATGTAGTTGTCGAGTTCATCCATCCTATAGCAACCAAATTTTTTTTTCTAAAGAATGGTTCTTATAATGGTAATAACTGGTCTGGAAGCATCCACTAAGACTATACGAATAGACAAGTATTTACTGGCCTTCAGCTGCTTTTGCGTACTGTTCTCCAAAGGCTCCATACCAACGGTCAATAACCTCCCCAGCCATTCCTGGTCCGATGGTCTCATCTCCATTCTCCAATTTGCCAGCAACTTGGTCCATAAACTCATTAACGCTAAGAGCGTTGGGGTTATTTTTCTTCTTGTTGTCATTGGGGTCCAATCTTTCTCGGTGCAGGTCGGTGGAGACTGTCGGTGGCGCAATCTCCACCACTCTAACCTTTGATCCTCCATTCTTCAGCTGTGTGCGGAGGTTCATGCTCCAGAAGTGCATCCACGCTTTGGTGCCGTTGTAAACAGGGTTGATGATGGAGAATGGGATAAACCCGAGAACGCTCGAAACATTGACGATGAGAGCAGACTTCTTGGCCTGTAGATGAGGTAGAAACTCCAAGGCAAGGTGCATCGGGCCCCGAATGTTGATGTCGATCTCTTGGTCTGCCTTTGAAAGGAAGTCGTCATCCTTAAGGACCTCAAGGGGTCGCTGTACACCGGCGTTGTTGACCAGACAGTCCAGTTCAGGATGGTCCGCAGTAATGCGCTTGACGAAATCTGGGATCGATTGGACTTCGCCGGTATCAAGGACATAATAGCCCGCGGCTCCGATTTCCTTCATGGTGTCTTGAAGTTTCGAATCTGTTCGGCCGGCAATAAGAACCTTCTTGCCCTTCGAGATGAAGTATTGTGCCATCACTTTGCCGATACCTCCGGCGCCGCCGGTGATAACGGCACACTCGAAGCCCAGGTCACCAGTAGAAGTCGGCATTTTGGTAATGTTTTTATTCAGTATTAATCCTTAACGCTTGAAGCTATATTGTCAAGAGAAAGTTGGCAGTAGTCGCTTTCAAAATGGTGACGTTTATATCTAAAATAGCCTACGCCCTAGGAGCCATTTCGGAGCCGCGAACCACATTAGTCACATCAACCCCTCCTATCCCTTTTGGGCGGCTGACCTGAGGTGTTGCCACTACAGGACTGAGTACCTGAGCAAGACCCACTTGTTTCTGGATAGCTTATCCATAAAAGCATAAATGACATACGGATCATTTTGAAGCTTTATGAATCAGAAGCATAAATTTCTATGCATACCACTATATAGTTAGTAATCATCGTCTTACCCTTGTTACTAGCCAAACGGGTATATTTAATAAAACGTATCAATGACTAGCAAATCATTATTCAAATTAGCGGCTGGCTCTTTTAGTATTCGTTAGGCATGTACTATTACAAGCACTACTGCTTGTTTGTTAATTTATATGCAAAGAGACAGTTGGAGTTTGGAAAAAATCACCTGCATATACCTCTCTCTCTAAAGCTCCTTTAGTGACATAAAGTGAATGGGAGATTGGATTTCTTCTTAGTACGAGATTTACATTCACAAGATTTCTTCAGTATCTACATGTCCATTAGGCAAAAACCTTTCGCTAAGGTGCACCTTGTTTTGCCCAGACAGACCAACATCAAAGGATTCCTCTAACCCAATCCCTCTTCCTTGGGCATCATACAAATTCAATTGAACACCTGAGTTTAAATTCATGATCTCCTGTATTTGAGCATGTATTGAAGTCCGTTGACAACTTCTAGCTTCTGCCTATGATCCATCTGTTGGCGTGAAGATGCTGACTCTGAGCTCTGGCATCAGAGATAAAGTTAGGGATTCAAAAAGACTTCTGTTAAGGGGACTGCTGCTCCTTAACTGTTGCCTCCTTGCTACCTTCTTCATTAGGTTATACCGAAAATTACGTGACTAGCGCCTTTAGAGACCTGTCTATTGTTGTGATCTACTGTGGCTCAGTGACTGTACCAAGCTCGAATGGTCTGCCACAGCTGTGTCGCCTTCATGCAGTGTTGCAGATGACTGAGCTATGGCCATCTCCATAGTTTCAACTTGACGTATAGAAGAAACCAGTGTTCTCGTCCTGACGTCTCCGGACGGGTTTCCATTACCTCCAGTATCAACTGCAGCGGCAAATTCGCCTAGTTCCTCCATGAGATCGCATTCCATCCTGTCAACCTCACTGTCGCTTCCATCTGAATTCGTTGTTGAATCAGAGACATCCTCTTCAAGGTCACTTATTCCCCCTAGCGCACCCGATACTTCAGCGTCCCCAGTTCTCCCTAAATCAAGAAATGCCTCAATCACAGATTTACGAACAAATAAAGACGTAATATCACCGCTTTTCCTTGGAGCCCTTCTCAGGATATGCAGCTTGAGGTGGTGGCTATCGAGTTTATACGACGTAGAGAACTACCGACCACAGCGCCTTTTCAGAGGTTCCCCTATGCTATCCGTCGTTATATCAGGATCATGAGAAGGTGCTAAGCATGGCCTGGCTGCTTGATACATATCAGCGATAGGGCGTACGAATTGCTTGAACTGCATAGGGTTGTATTTGAAGAGGTGAGGTTTTCTGGCCGAGGTTTGGGTCTCCGCAGAAGCCAAATTGTTGGTATCACAGGCTGGTCGACCAGAGGCAGCAAATAGCGTATATTACTATTGATGCGAAAGAGGTATGATGGTTGATATGAAGAAGTTCAAGGTTGGCAGTTGCTGTGGATATTTGTGGAGGTGTAAGTGAGTGAGCCGCCGAGGTTAGTCACGTGACCTCGGATCGGCTCCACCCTCCGCCGGTGACAAATATTCTGACACTAGCAACTTTCTTATGTAAAGAGAAATGGCCAAATAACCTAAAGACTGCCTAGTAGCTAAAAAGCCTAAAAACGCAATAAAAATCAAAGGCCTAAAAGTATTGTAATACTTCTAGTTCATGTGACCTGTCATATAGTGTATAAAACCTATCCCTCTATTCTAATCCTTATAGTCCTATTGCTAACTAGCTACTCTAATGCCTTATTTAGTGACAACTTTGTGAATCTATTAGCAGGATTATTATTACCTTAGATCTATTAGACTTTGTAGACTTTATATTACTTATATAACTACTGTAGGGCTATAATGTCTATTATAAGCCTCTTTTCCTTTGTTATACCTAACTTAATAAGGCACTTATAAAGTAAGTATAAGTTAGTGCAAAGGATAGTTAGTACACAAGGAATCTTAAGGCAGTTAGTTATTATTACCAGGGTTATACTAATTACGTAGGCAACGTTAGTGCTAGCAACTATACTGTAGATCTCTAAAGCCAGTATACTCTAGGTAACTTACTTGCACTTTATTAAGCTAAAGTAAATAATGTTGCTAGTTATAGTAAAGCTATTACTATTGTTGTTACTTGTAATAGCTTTATTTACTAGAATAATAATAAACCTTAGCTATAAGGTTAGATCTTTGTTATTTATAAATAACCTATTAATAAAGACAAAAAGTTTTATAACCTTAAGGTTAAGTAAGTAAAATAATAGTCCTTGTTTAAGGTTACTTATCTACTAGATAATACACTAATTAAGTGCCTAAATCTCCTTTGCACTAGGTAATTAGTGTTGTGCTACAATAGAGTAGTTAAAGTAAGCTTTAGGTTAGTAGACTAATGTAATATATACGCTATAGGCTTATTGTTTAATATATTACTTTGTTGCTTATAGGGACTTCTTATTAATAGGCTAAAGTCTCTTGCCTTGGCCCTTTTAGTAGAGCAGTAGCTTGCTGTTAGTAGTTAATAAGACTACACTACTATTAAATATAAGGGGGTTGTTGCTAGTAAGGATTTACTTCTCCTTGGCTGTAAATATGGCCTTAGTAAGCTTATTAGCCTTATAGGCAGAGAAAGGTTTATTTAAAAGGGTAATAATATTATTAGTCTATATACTAATAACCCTAAAGTCTAGGCTTTCTAGTAATATAATTAGTAGGTATAGGTTGTATATTAAAGTAACTATCTAGAGCTTTTCTCTATAGTAGTAACTATATATTGCCTACTAGTAAGTGCTTACCTCTATAATACTATATAGAGGCTTTACTACCTATATAATAGTCCCCTTTAGGTAAAGGTACTAAATTTACGTAAAAAAGTAGGTAAAGATAACGTAGTTTAATAAAGTAGTTAATTAGGTATACGCCTAGGTAATATTATATAACTATAGTAAAAAACCGTTATTATATAATAATAATAAAGTAATAGTAAGAATAAGGCACTAGCTAGCCTATTAGATAGTAGGTAATTATATAAGAATAGCCTTCTTATTATTATCTATGTATCCTTAGATTATAAGGCATAATTTCTTATAAGGCTTCTTGTTTTTACCTTTAACCTTATTAACTATTTATAATTTAAATATATATATATTACTATACTTACCTTATTATAGTAAATAAATTAAAAAACGCTATAGGTAATAAGTCCTTTAATTTTAGTTACGTTAGCCTACTTAAAGGGCTTTTCTGTGGTTATAATAATACCTTTCTTGCGTAGGTTAATTACTAATAGCTAGTTAGCCTCCTCCTTGCTTATAATATATATAGTAGTTATTACTATAGAAGAGGTAGCTATATAGAGCCCTATTTTATTAGTAAAGTTAGTGTACTTTCTTAGGTAGCTAACTTTTTGTTTAGGCTATTATTATTATAGGCTAAGGTTAACTATAATAGTATTATATACTTCCTCTGTAGGCGTAGGTTAGGTTTCTTTACTACTGTTACTATTTACCTCTATAGATAGGTAATTACTAGTTTCTTTAAAGTATAGCTTAATAATAGTTAACTAAAAGGTCCTTAGGCTATAGAGTAAATTAATAGTGTAGTTAGTGCTATTATTAGTAATAAGGTAAAAAGGTCTTTACTAACCTCCCTTCTTATACTATATATAGACCTTAGATTAGAGAGGAAGTGCTATAGTTGCAGAGGTATCTAGGCTATTGTGTATTACTGTTGCCTTATTAACTTGCCTTCTTGCGTAGATTTAGTGTATAGCCTCTATTGCCTTCTTTACTGTTTTAGCCCTTTTAGTTAAGGTAGGCAAAAGTAGTAATAAGTTAGAGACTTGTAGGTAGGCGCTAAAGACTAATAGCGTAGGTACAAGGCTATCTAGACTAGTAGTATTATTAACTACTTTAACAGCTAACTAGAGGGCTATCTCTAGCTTAGTCCCTTTGCTGCGTAGGATGTTATATACTTGCTATAGGGGTGTATAGTACTATTTAACCTTACTAACGCTATTATAAGCTTTAACTAGTATTTCTTTAACGTTAATATAGAGTAATCTAGTAAACTACTTAAATTTACTAGTATAAAAGTTTAGACTAGTATTAGTAATAATCTAGTCTAGTAGTCTAAGGTAGACGTTAATCTAATATATCTATAGGGCCTCCTAGGTGTACTCTATAGTAATATTAGCAAGAAAATAGGCTACCTAGAAAAAGGTTATAGTATTAATAATATATAAAGCTAGGTAGTTACTATTAAGGTAGATAATATTAATAATAACTTTGTAGTTAAAGTTATAGTTATTATCTTATAAGGTAAACTTAAAGTAACCTAGTGCCTTTAAATTTATCTAGTAATAGTAGTAGATCTTGGTTATCTACTCTAGGGCTATAATCTTAACGTTGTTGCTTAACTGTTAAAGTATATAGTAAAGGCATTAAATAGATAGATAGCTAAAGCAATAATAAATCCTTTATAGCTTAACATCTATAAGGTAATACTAGGCAACACTACACTTAGGTTAATTTAATAGTATCTATAGGTAGCCCTATTTCTATATAATAGGCACTATATTATTACCTTAGATTAACTTATTAGTAAGATTATTAAATTTAATACTATAGAGATCTATATCCTTAAGGTAGAGCAAAAAAAAGGTGTTTATAGGTATTATATAAAAGGTTAAGGTGCCTACTAGTGTTAATACTTTAATAGCGCCCTTTAAGGTAAAATAATTACTACTACTAAAGTAGA